AAAAAAAAAAAAAACAGCACCCCTAATCACATTCCCTCTCTATTTCTCCTTCCCACCTGCAACTAACTCCTCACCTTATCTGGAGAAATGAGCACTCAAGCTCGCGCTACACTAGTATGGCGCGAGATTCCGGGCCTCGGCCCGAACAATTCTGCCGAACTCGGCCCGTGCGAAACCGTGTGGTGGTCCGATACGGGCGGCAATCGGAGAAGGTCGAATTTCGCGTGTATTTCCCACGCGGAGAAGAACAAGGAGGGAAAGGATTTCGCGCCTGCGTTCGGTCAGCTTCTCAAGCATCCGTTGGCCACGCTCGCATTGGTACCCAAAGACGCTGCTCTTTTCGCCGCCGGTGCGATTGCCGGCGCCGCCGCCAAAACTGTCACCGCGCCGCTGGACCGCATTAAGCTGCTTCTGCAGGTTTGGAACCACAATTTTGTTGTAGCTTTGTTTTATTTTGTGGTGCTTTTTAGTAATTGCTTTCAACTGTTCACAACCAGTACCCTTGATTTTGCCGTTCAATTATTGCCGTCTCGTTTTTTTTTTTCCTCATCTGTTTTGTTGTTTGTTTACAGAAATTTGCACATATGAAATATAAAATGTATCAGTGAATCTTTTGTTGTTTATACACGAATGTAGCGTAGTTGAGATGTTCTGATGTTCCAAATAGAGATGAGCTAAACATGATTTACAGATTTAGACTTATTGTTCTTTGATTTAATGTCAATGCTTTTGTTATGCTGGTAACCGTGGAATTCTGATGTCCCGGAGTAAAGATGACTTATCCTGATTTAGGGATTTAGGCTGGTGTATTGTTCTTTCATTTCATGCCAATGCTGGGTTAAAAAGTGATATGGCTGGTACATTCTATGGTTTGCTTTATTCAGTTTTGTTTGATTGTTCATTGTCTTGTATAAAATGTTGATTTGATGTTCGCAACCCGACCTAGAAACTTGCCAACAATGCTTTTGTTCTTATATATGTGACAATCAGTCGCTCTGGAAAAAGAAAAAGGAAACTATTAGGTCCTTGTTTGTGACTTTAAGTTCTATAATCAAGATCGAATAAGCAAATGAAATGCCAAGCACTTATTATATTTCCACTATATGCTAAAGAGTAATTCTAATTATTTTGCTTAATCCTCTTTTCTCCCTCACTTTATGCAGACTCATGGACTTCGGGCAGGACAAGAAGGCGCAAAGAAGGGAATTGGATTTATAGAGGTACCTCATGTGCATTTTAGCTGATCATGGTGATTCTACAAGCTGTTAATTCGCACGGATTTGAAGGCTGAGTCACCCCATAAACATATTACATTCTCTACAAATTGAAATTCGCTGTAACCTTTTCGATTTTGAATTAGGCCTTCACATTGATTGGGAAGGAAGAAGGATTAAAAGGCTACTGGAAAGGGAACCTTCCACAGGTATGTTGCTCTGTTGTCTATCTAAACATCTCAGATGAGTCAATACATTTCCAAGAGCATATATATTTTAACAACTTGAATTCTCCTTCTAATTCTCTGTAGGTTATACGAATCATACCTTATAGTGCTGTGCAGTTGTTCGCTTATGAAGCATACAAGGTGATTGTAAATCAAATCCTTCCTGGAAACGTAATATCACATCTTGTAGGAATTTTAATGGGCACTGTTGTTTCATTTTTTTAGAAACTTTTTCAAGGACAAGATGGGGAACTCTCTGTAATTGGAAGATTAGCTGCAGGTGCTTGTGCTGGCATGTCTTCAACTTTCGTAAGTTGAAATAGGAATAAATGGATTAAAAACTTGATGCATAAATAAATTTATTCTAAGACCCCACTCTTTTTTTTTTTGTCAATTTTTGGTTCTTGTGGATTGGATATTGATAATTGACTTGTTGAAACTATTTAGTTTGATGGATTATAATTTTTTATATCACAATTATCTGTATTTACATAGGTTACGTACCCGCTAGATGTTCTTAGGTTGAGATTAGCTGTTGAGCCTGGATACAAAACAATGACAGAGGTAAAAAGCCATTTTACCAGTTTGCCTGATACCCGTGTTAATTTACTGAGAAAGTGGTCTCTGTCTATATGATGATATATGCATTCATTTCCTATCTTTTTTTTTTTTTCTAGGTTGCTTTGAACATGCTGAGAGAGGAAGGGTTCATGTCATTTTATAATGGTCTAGGACCTTCTCTTATTGGAATCGCACCTTATATTGCAGTGAATTTTTGCGTTTTTGACTTGTGAGCTTACTAAATTGGTAGTTTATAAATCTGTCGTGGTTACAGGCAAAATAAGCTAGCCCACTGAAAAACCTGACTTTATCTGCATGTAATTCAGGGTGAAAAAGTCTCTTCCAGAAAAATATCAAAAGAGAACTGAAGCATCATTGGTAACAGCTCTGGTATCGGCCACTGTAGCCACACTCATGTGCTATCCTCTCGATACAGTCAGGAGGCAAATGCAAATGAAGGGCAGTCCTTATATGACTGTTTTGGATGCCATTCCAGGTAACGTTATATATATCAGATTTAAACTGTTTAATCATATATCCTTAATATATGATTCCTGTTTCAATGAGCATCCACAAGCACTTATCGTGAAGGAAAAACTTAGAAGATGTGATTCAAGTTTAGACAAGAGATGGAAGCTCTAATGCTCATTTGTATCAAATGAGAATGTCTCCATTGGTATAAAGTTTTATTTGGATCAACTGAGTGATTAATGTTGGGGAAAATGAGTCTTGCATAGCTTTATGATATTTCAACCTTTTTCTCCCTCTGTTAAGGCTGTGCTTAAACAACACAACTGCATTTGTATTTTTTAAAGCCATGGACCCAACCTGTTTCCTCATTTAGCTGCTTAGCTCCGCCAGAACGGACTCGTTAACTCAGGGTCCGTTATATACTATGAAACTGGACACATGATGATTTTATTTGGTGGTGGATGTAGAAACAAGATCTTAGAGTGTGTTTGCATTTTGTAGGCAAAAAAATTCAATCCCAACTCAAAATCTAATTCAAACCCAGTTATCCTTAATATTATCAATATAATTAAATAATACAAATCAATCAATTTTACACATCACATCAACTTTAATTAATTCTTCATCAACTCACATAATTTTAACTACTTATCACTTCCAATCATCTATCTCTTACTTTTGCATCAAATAAATTTTAATCATTTAATTTTAAATATTATTTTAATACAAAATATCAACTTTTTCAAAATTATCCATGGTTAACAAAAAAAAAAAAAAAAGCAAGCCCTTAGAATTTCTTGATCTAAATTATGTATCCTTCTTGATGCTTAACATTTTTTAGTTTCGCCATGAACATTTTGAATCAGGTATTGTGGCTCGTGATGGTTTAGGAGGACTATACAGGGGTTTTGTGCCCAATGCATTAAAGACTCTACCGAACAGCAGGTTTGGTTTACTCTCTCCCTCTTTTATACCTATAAATTCTTTATTTAGCTTTCATAACTTTCTCTTTTTCATGTTATGGTTCAAATTTTTTTCAGACTGACTCATTGTGCAAAATATCCTTACAGTTCATATTTTGCCAGACTGGTCTTTTATAACTGGAGTCGTGAACTTTGATAATATGATAATTTACGCGATACATATGAATTAGTATATATACCAATGTTCCACGCGGGTGAATGAATTTTCATGCACTTCTTTTTCAGCATAAGGCTTACGACATTCGACTCCGTAAAGCGACTTATCGTAGCAGCCGAAAAAGAACTTCAAAGCATTGAAGAGGAAAATCGGAAGCAGCAAGAGCACAGGTGTTAGTGGCAGCTTAACTTGATTTGGTTTTCACTTCAGCATTCTTTACTTCATAGCATTTATCAGCAGACACCTTTTGATACGAGTTTCGGCTAGTTTCTTTTAGTTTTTCCAGTACTTATGCAATAGGAAGCAGAATAATGTATTCGGAATCTGTTGTGGATATCAAGAGACATTTTTGAACTATACCTTTAATGATGAAGGTAGCAATCTTTGAATGTTGTTGCAGTTAAAGAAGCTTTTAAATTTATATGTAGGAAGTGGTTTTCAAAAAATACCATTATGAGTAAGAAATTACATCCATTCATTGAGTCACACCCAATGGATAAAGATTAATTAAAGAGGTTCATATTCAATATTCTTATATTCATGCTTGACATCAGTAATGTATTAAGTATGCATGATCGGCAAATTCGACAATGTGCGTGTGCATATTTGTGGTATAAAAACCAACGAGATATGATGAAATCATCCCAACAAAATTAAACATAAAACCGTGCAATATTGTCATGTACTTATGTATATTCAAAAGTAGAAATTAAAAAAATACTTTAGAAACATATAATATAATACGTGATAGCACTCCTACACCCAACCCGGTTCTCCTCCAATCCCCGGCCGTTTTGAACTCCGCGCAAAGACGTCGAGAAATGCTCCCGGCGGTAAACTTCCGATACTCAAGTCAGTAAGGAGTAGAGGAAAACTGTATGTAACTGTAAGTAGTATTAGAGTTTTAGAGTGTGATTAGAACCTACCATCTTACCGGATTTACCTATTTATATAGAATTGTTAGCTTTTCCCGTACGCTTTGCTCTTTATCCGTCCGATCATTTTTCTCATTTAAATCCTGACATTCCACGTGTCCTTAATAAGCTACTTCTCATAACCGTCCCCTTGCTCGGCCTTCAGTAAGGTCCTGCCCACAACTATCCCATCTGCTCGGTACTTCATGGCCCCTTCTGCTCGGTTTTTCATGTGTCTCTGCTCGCAACAACCCCACCTGCTCGGTCTTTCATGGCTCTTCTGCTCGGTCTTTCATGAGTCTCTGCTCGCAACAACCCCATCTGCTCGTTTTGTAATGGGCCTTTGCTCGCAATGTACCAAATCACATTTAACCGAGTTACTTGTTTTTCCAGGCTATGTGCCCATCTATTACTACCTAGCCGAGCTATTAATAACCTTTTACCACGAAAGCCGAGCCATCTACCGAACTCCAGGCTTTTACTAACTCCGGCTCGTTAAACCGACCAACTCCCTTTTGGCTCACCGGATTATTATTATGTGCCATATCAATACGTGATTGAAAAAATCTCATGTGAAGTCCAAATCAGATGATGGGCAATAAATATAATAAATCAGATGACATACAAGACATGATTCAAGACACGAAATTGGTTAGTGGCACGGAGGACATGCTTGGGACCCATGCAGGTTAAGGCCATTCGGGGCCTTTTAGAACGGGAATGGAGCATTAAGATTCAACACATTCATAGGGAAGCTAGGCGTACCATATGGCAAGCTTAGCGGCACACTCTTCGGTCGGTTTACATCGAATTTCGTCTCCCCCACAAGCTTGGGAGCATGGCTTCAACATAAATTATTGGGGTTTCTTACCCCCGTCGGGTTCTAGCCTAATTGTTTTGAGGGTCTCTAGCCTTCATTGTATCAAAAAAAAAAAGCACGATAAACATGAAAGAATTTTTTTTAGTTAAATCTAGATTTAATGATTTATTCTCATATTTATAACCAAATAAATATAGGTGACATTAAATCACAATACTAAAATATGAAGACAAGATAAGCGCGAGAAGCACAAAACAAAAGTTTAGTTACATTTAGAGAGGAATGTTACATAATCGTTACAGAAAGATTCCGTTGTTTTTCTAAGATTATCTACACATAACTGATCTACATGTGTATATACGGCCAAAGAAAATAACCATCCCGTAAAATATTATATTTATAATTAAATGAAAATAAATAACACGAAATCATGATAGCCCAAAATCCGTGACTAATCCGAAATACTTGTTCGGGCCTTGGGGTTGATAAGGGTTGGTTGATATTTTCAGCCCAAATAATTTTTTTATATTCCCAATAATACCCTTGATTCTGAACCTTCTGCCACATAACGCAGTTAGGGTTTTCAATTCTCCTCACTAACGCCAGCGAGAAAAGGGAGCCGCCGTGCACTCCATCGACCACCGGCAAAAATGGTCCGTGAATTTTCTCAACCTTTGATATTCGTTAATTTCGTACTGATATTGCTTTCAGATTCATGTATGCGTTTGTATCGAGCGTGCTTTGCTAGCATTTTTGTTGATTTTTTTTTGCTCGACTGTATTTACTGTACCATACATTCCGAAGTTATGTGATAAAGGGTCGCTCAAGAATGTGGATTGCCGGGCATTGTGGCTCTCTCTTTTTTTCATGTATTTTTTACTTGTAATCTAATGATTGCGTTTCCATGGATGTTCATTATTGACAATTCTTATGAATATTTTCACTTTGAGGAAAACAAAAGAATAAAAACAAGTGTTTTTTCACTGTTTAAAACCTTGTGTTGTGTTTTTGTTGATCCGTTTTTTTTAAACAAGAGGGATGGTAGGACCTTATGAGCATAATGGATTCAGATCATTGGGTATAGTGAAAATTTGCTGACATTGGTAAATCTCATGTTTTCTGATGGTTATGTTTGTACTGTTTGATAGTCTGTACCAGTAAACCCGAAGCCTTTTCTGAACAATTTGACTGGGAAGCCAGTAATGGTGAAACTCAAATGGGGAATGGAGTATAAAGGTATTTTGTCTCTGTGATTCTTTGAAGTTCCGAATGTTTGTTCGTTGTCTACAGTCTGCATTTGATTATCCATTTGGTTTCTAACTATCTCCTTATGCGATTCTCTTTTCAGGTTTTCTCGTATCCGTGGATTCTTACATGAATTTGCAGGTATAGTAAGAAATGATATTTAGTTTTTTTTTTTGCATCTTTCTATCGTTTTAATGATATGCTAAACATCCATAGATCTATTTGGACATTTTGTTGTGAAACTAAAACATATGCTGAAAGTGTGTGTGTGTGTGTGTGTTTTCTTGAGCATGCTTAAATATGCCTCTTATTTGGAGGAGATTGTTTAGCTTACTCATGGATTTCAGTTATTGTGTGGCCAAGAATTTCATTTAACCTGTATTTTTTGGTACTCTTAGTTCTTTAAATTTTGACATAATTTATGCTAGAGGTAATCTAATTTCTCAATATGTGGATAGAGTTACGTGAATATATTGCAACTCTTTGATTATTTGTGTAATGCCTTAAATTTAAATGCATGGAGCTCTTGTACTTTCCAAGGTATTTACTTGCCACAGTAAGGTAAACCCGAATTAAATGTCAGTAAGTTGGACACCATGAACATTAATTAAAATGGAAGATTTAAGTGAAAAATCAAAAGTAATAGTGGGTACTAAAACCTGTCCATAAATACTGTTCATGGCATTTCAGTAGCTGACTTGCAAACAAAACTGGGCTGTTTAACAATTACATGAATGCCGTTGTTAAAATCTGAGCAGTGAATATTATTTCTGGAGATGACTCCTTACAATATGAACTATGTATGAAATTTGTACTAAATAGAATTGGTTCTGTTGGGTTCTTTAACACGTCTTAGTTGTTGACTTGCATTTTGTTGTGGCAGCTTGCAAATGCTGAGGAATATATCGATGGGCAGTGTACAGGAAGTCTTGGGGAGATATTAATCAGGTAAAATTTTTTGTTGATTCATTAGTTTTCTTAAAAAATTAGAGACAAAATTGATTTAAATGTTTGATACCAATTTATCATCATTGGACTATTTTAAATTAAATTTTGGTTTGCAGATATTGGTCTTTTTTACCCCCTGTGTTAAAATCTCAATGGACATAATTTAACTTTTAGTTTTGTTGTTTACGAAGTTAACAAGGCTATATCAATTAAGACTGCTGACAATATCATCTGGTATGTCTGGTTATCAGATGTAACAATGTTCTTTATCTGCGTGGGGTGCCAGAGGATGAAGAAATCGAAGATGCAGAAAACGAGTAGGTGGCTTTCTATAGCCTTTTAGGTTTATCTGTCTTTCTACATTTCATTCAAATTGTATGATCTATATGTAAGATTATCAACTTGGTTGTCGAAATATTGGATAATGCGTCGTGGTTGGGTATGGCTGATGGCAGATAATTCATTCATAATTTAACCTTAAAAAATTATCATATTACGGCCCAATGCACAATGGAGGCAGATTATGAATGATGATTTTTGTGTTGTGAATATCTAGGCATTTTTTGCAATTATGCTTGTGTGTAGTTTAGTTTAGTTTAGATGATGTTGATGTTCAATTTCTGTCATTTTCTTTGAGTGTATGAATCATTGTGAATTGATTGTTTATTAGGTTGCAGTAATGAACATGTACACATTCTTGTTTAGTATTAGTTTAGTTTAGATGTGGTTAATATTCCTCATTTTGAGACAACTTTTCATGCGGTTTAGATGAGGTTAATTTGTAACTTTGGAGACATTATATGTCAGTTAAGTAAGAATAAGGTTTATGTTATTTTTATATTGAGTAAACGAGGATCAGCCATTTAATTTTATATTTTTGGCAACTACCCTGCATAAATATATATACATCCTCCAACATCAAAGTGTTTGTATATTGAGTGAACGTGGATCAACCTATTGAACAAGTTAAACATCAAATTTAATATATTACGATAATAAATATATTTTTATTCTTTTCGATAGACTACATATGGATAATAATCTACCATTACTTTTTGTCATAGTATTTATAATTTTGTTAATAGTAATGTTCCATTATTCACGGTGAGCACATGTTAATATGTCCACCGCTTATGTGAAATGCACACATTGGTGATATATTTTTTTTCGAACATATTAACATGGCCAATGTGTGCATGTTACATAAGTGGTGGACATATTAACATGTGTCCATGTGGGTAGAGGAGCATTACTGTGAGTATAAATATATGATTGATTAGATATTAACATCTTGCTAATTTTCTTTTACAACTGATTATGATTGTAACTAGTAGATATTTTGTGCACATGCACAGGTGTACATAAAATATTCTAAGTAATATTTGAGAATTTAATATTAAAATTTCAGATAATGAACATATTACATTTTCAAAAATTTGATCATTAAGAAAAATAAATTAACGATTTTATTATTATGAACAATTGTTTCTTAATAATAATAATAATAATAATAATAATAATAATAATAATAATAATAATAATAATAATAATAATAATAATAATAATAAAACTATTATTTAGAAGTGGATTTGAAAAAAATACTATTATGTGGACTCATAGGAATAAATTACATCCATTCATTTTGAGCCAAATCCAACGGATATAGATTAATTAAAGTGGTTCATAGTCAAATATTCTTATATTCATGCTTGACATAAATGAATGTATATAAAGTATGCATGATTGACAAATTCGACTGTGTGTGTGCATATATATATATTTTTTTTTTGTTTTTGTTTTTTGGTAGAAAGGAAGAGACTAAACTTCAAGAGTTTAATTGGAAACACTTTTCAAATGGACTTTTGGATGTAAAAGTCCATTAGGATAAATATTTATGTTTGGTACTAAGTTAAGAGGGAAAAATGGGAAAAATTCATAACTACCCTTTCATTTAACAACAATTTCATAAATAAAACCGATGGTGGAGAATTCCAAAAATACTCCAAATATAATCAATTAAGATGTAATCGTCATGTTCAAATGAAAAGGAAGTAAATAACAAAAAAAAAAAATAAA